GGCGTCAAAATGGTGGCGGCGGCCGTGGGGCGGCGGCGGCCGCGGTGTTTGAGCTTGGAGGTGGACGTCAAGGCGTGGACGGCGCGTTACGGCCACGCTGACCGGCAGAGTGACCAGGGGGGTGACCCAAAGGATGACCAGCAGGGTGACCACCACGGTGACCGGGAGGGTGACCCAAAGGATGACCAGCAGGGTGACCACCACGGTGACCACCACGGTGACCGCTGCGGCGCGCTGGACGGAGCCCCGGCCGTTGTCCTCCTCCGGACCCGCGACCTCTTCTCCCTGCCCTTCCCGCTGAGCCGTCCCGTGGTCACCTCGCTGTCCCTGCAGGCCGCCGCCCGCGGCTGGCGCCTGCTGCTGCTGCCGGCCTCCTTCCCTCTGGCGCCGCGGCCGCCTCCGTCCCCCCACGAGCGCCGCAGGGCCCAGACCGCGCTGGAATCTCGACGCCGCGCGCTGCTGGATCTCTTCGGCGTCAAGCTGGAGGTGCTGCCGGACGGCTCGCGGCGCTGGCACGGCTGCGCCAAGGACACGCCGCGCTGCTTCGGCACCGTGCTGCGCCAGACCCCCGAGTACCTGCTGGCCGGGCGCTGGACGCCGCCGTGCTGCCTGCGGGCGCTGCGCGCCACCGCCCGCCACGTCCTGGCGCAGCTGGAAGCGGCCGGAGTGCGGCACTGGCTGGAGGGAGGGACCCTCCTGGGCGCCGTCCGCCTCGGGGACATCATCCCCTGGGACTACGACGTGGACGTGGGGATCTACCGCGACGACGTCCCCAAGTGCCGCTGGCTGGCGGCGGTGGCGGCCACGGGCCGGCCGGTGGAGGACCCTCAAGGGTTTTTTTGGGAGAAAGCCACCGAGGGGGAGTTTTACCGGGTTCATTTCAGCCGTTCCAACCGGCTGCACGTGGACCTGTGGCCGTTCTACGTCCGGCCCGGCGGCGCCGGGGCCGTGATGACCAAGGACACGTGGTTGGGTCACCGGCAGGACGTGGAGTTCCCCGAGTCCTTCCTGGTGCCCCTGGGCACCGTGACGTTCGCGGGGGTGGCGGCCAAAGCGCCCAACGACCCCCGAGGGTTCCTGGAGCTCAAATTCGGGCCCGGGGCCATCGAGAGCCCCGAGTACCCCAACCCCGGGGTCAGGAGGTTGGCACAGGACGTGGGCAATAAAACCTCTCAGTGACATCTCTGATTGTCCCCTGTGTCACCTCTGGGGTCCCTGCGCCACCCCTGGGGTCCTTGTGCCACCCTTGAGGTCCCCAGTGCCACCCCTGGGGCCCCTGTGTCTCCTTTCAGGTCCCGGTGCCATCTTTGGGGTCCCTGTGCTACCTCTGGTGTCCCTGTGTCACCTCTGGGGTCCCTGCGCCACCCCTGGGGTCCTTGTGCCACCCTTGAGGTCCCCAGTGCCACCCCTGGGGCCCCTGTGTCTCCTTTCAGGTCCCGGTGCCATCTTTGGGGTCCCTGTGCTACCTCTGGTGTCCCTGTGTCACCTCTGGGGTCCCTGCGCCACCCCTGGGGTCCTTGTGCCACCCTTGAGGTCCCCAGTGCCACCCCTGGGGTCCCTGTGTCTCCTTTCAGGTCCCTGTGCCATCTTTGGGGTCCCAGTGCCACCTCTGGTGTCCCTGTGTCACCTCTGGGGTCTCTGTGCCACCTCTGGGGTCCCTGTGCC